GTGTGTGTGTGTGTGTGTGTGTGTGTGTGTGTGTGTGTGTGTGTGTGTGTGTCTTCGGAGGGAGGTTCTAGTAGCATTTTTATTTAGAAATTTGAGTCCAAATATCCTACTATAGTTTTTCACTACCTGTAAATTAGTGATTAGAAAACATGCCCCCAGCTCAGTTCTTTAGTTGCCTTGCCCTGTCCTGAGTTGTCACCGACAGGGAAACGGAGGGCAGGAACAGCCTCTCTGACCTCAACCTCAAAGGTTAGGAAGTACCCCCCCGCCCCCGGCCCAAGCATCCCCTTTCATTAAGGATGATAAACTATCTTATCCGTCCTTCAGGGAGAGTGGGAAAGATATTTGAATCTGTACCAGGTCTGGGATAATGTTTTCTGAGTTTACCAGTCACTGTGTGAAACAGGATTTCCTGTGTCAAAGAATGCTCCCCAATCCTGATACCACGGAGTATATTTAAGAGATTATAAACCGTATTGTCTTTGCAACTCAGGAGAGCTAACGTGCTCGATGCACTAGCATTGGACTGAAAATATGCTAAAATCCTGGCACATGTCAGTGCGCAGGGTCATGAATTCAGTAGATCTAATGATTACCCAAGAAGTCTCATGGAATTCCAAGAAGAATTCAAGAGCCCAGACCTGGGAGATACAGTCATGATGATAAGAAGTAACAGACTTGGCAGAACAGCACCCCTGTGGTGCTGAGGAGAAATGTGTACTGCAGCTCAGCTCCAGGACTGGCCCACGTTTGCAAACCCCATGGAAGGTAGCCTGCTTCCCATACCCAGCTGGTAAGAGGCTCCTTCATGGGTTCAGCCTCCTTAGCCAACAGCAGCACAAAGGGGTGCACTGGGATGCTTGCAAGTCTGAGCAAGTACTATTCTCCCGGAGCCTCGGTTTCCTTCTCTGTAAAATACGAATCCTTGCTAATCCACGTGTGATCCCCAGACCCGTAGTGAGGTTTTACCTGGGAGCTAGCTAGAAATGCAAAATTCCAGGCCCTACCCAACCTATAGTATTTGAACAGGATCCCCAGGTGATTCCTGTGCACCTTGCAATCTGAGATGCTCTGGCCTAGCCTCAGGATCCTCTTTCCAGTTCTGAAATCGTCTGATCTCATTAAGTGGTTTCCAGGGCAGTTTTTCTTCGCAGATAAATGGTTTTTCTTCTTTCCTAAGCCTCCACTCTTGGCACTGACTGTCTCCCCTGCCAAGGAATTACAGTTTCAGTAGGCATTGGATTTGCATGAGGACCTTGTTTAAAATGCAGATTCCTGAGCCCCATCAAGAGACACTGACTAGGGGTGCCTGGGTGGCTCAGTTGGTTAAGCAACTGCCTTCAGCTCAGGTCATGATCCCGGAGTCCAGGGATCGAGTCCTGCATCGGGCTCCCTGCTCAGCAGGAAGTCTGCTTCTCCCTCTGACCCTCTTCCCTCTCGTGCTCTGTGTCTCTATCTCATTCTCTCTCTCTCAAATAAATAAATAAAATCTTTAAAAAAAAGAGAGACACTGACTAGGATTCGGTGGGGCCAGAAAATCTTGCATTTCAACCAGTTTCCGCCAGGTGGTTCTACAGGTTATGGTTCCCGGATTACACTCCTTTCTTTGACTTTTTATTATGGAATATTTCAAACATAAGAAATAGACAAAATAGTAATAATGAGCAATCATGTTTCAAAACCCAGCTTCGCTTCCACAATGATCAACTCAAGGTCAATTTTGTTTCGCTCAGATTATATTTTTGAAAAATGATTGCATCTAGACCTTCCCAGTCTTCTGAGTCCCCCTCATCTAACTGCCTGTAATCCTTTATTTATTTTTTTTAAGTAATCTCCCTACCCAACGTGGGACTCAAACTCACGACTCAAACTCACGACCCCGAGATCGAGAGTCACGTGCTCTGCAGGCTGAGCCAGCCAGGTGCCCCTGCCTGGAGTCTTTTAAAGCTCAGCTTGTTCACCTTGAGAACAAGAGTTGTGTCATTTTGTCTTGGGAGTCCCTAGCACCCAACACTGTGCCTGGCACATGTAGGCACTCAGAGAATGTATGCAATAGTACATTAAAAAGAAATTTACAGTAAAATATATTATCGTCTACCTGGATGGTTTAAGTTGGAGGTAAACGGGATTGCCTGATCCCCCATTTTTTCAATTATTTGCCTGTGATGCCTTTTTCAGTTCTAGAATTAAGGCCTCAAAATGCATCTTACCAAAGTGAAAGAACTGGCGGGAAGTTTCCAGAAGTCCTTGTTGATGTCCCTTTCCTTCTGGTTTCAACGTTTCGTAAACGATTTGGTGTTTGTGTGTGTGCGGTAAGAGAAAAGGTAGGAAAATAGCTCTGGGGAACGAGGATATCATCTCATGGCCTGTTTTACTCTTTAACCTGGTAATAAATCTCTTTAAACCTCCTGAGGTATTCAGAATATCCTGTCCATGGCAAGGTCTTCCCACAGTCGTGAAGGGTATTCAAGTTTCCTAGGTGGACAGCGCGATGAGATCCCAAAGGCACAGTCTTGCCCTTTCCGACCATTCGTACACGATGAGGCTCAATCTGCTAATTCTCGGATGGGTGTGCTAAATAACAGGAGGCAGAGTGCGGGAAGAGGCAGGACCAAACTGAGAAAAGCTCGCCAGTTCCAGAACTCAGCACAACAATCAAGGGATAAAGCAGTAATTAGGCCTGATTATCATGCAAGGCAGCCCCAGTTAAATTGGAATGTAGCCGGAGAGACGAAAGGCTGGATGGAGAGTTTGCTATGCAGGAAACACGCTTTGATGTCTGCAGGGAAGGTTGTGTTTTATGCAGCCCTCCAACCAACCAAAAAAATGTTGCAGGAGCAATATGAAACCTTCTAAAATGCAGCAGACGGGAAGCTGGAGTGGAGAGCAAGGGGCTGGGTCCAAATTCCCCTCCTGAGTGAGTGAGTGTGTGTGTGTGTGTGTGTGTGTGTGTGTGTGTGTGTGTACTTATACATGCCTCTTTTCTCAGATTTACCGCTCCAGCCTCTTGGATATGTCAGAAGACAGGAAAAGAGAAAAGGAGCGCACGCTCCAGCTGTTAACTCGCCGTCCTGGGCTTGCACATTATTACGACAAGGGAGAATGTGTTGAAGGTTGAGGCAGCCTTTTTACCTGCTGTGGGGAGAAAGCAGAGGAAATGGAGGTAAATGACCCTGTGTGTCCCGGAGAGGCCTGGAACTCTGCTGACAGATGCAGACGGAGTCATCTGAGGCTGCCAGCTACCAGAGCTTTTGACCAACTGATGTACGAAGAAGAAAATGAGCCAAGAAAGTAGGTTAATCTCCCAGAGGAACACAAAATAGGTAGCAAGTACCATTTTTACACCTTTCCCTCTTGAATTGCTTCCAACCCAGAGCTGTGAAGCCCAAGGAATTCCTTTTGTGTCCTTACCTTACCTTGTAGGGGTATCCCCGATCTAATGTGATTTTGTACCTGGGCTCATTGCTCAGCTAGGTGCACTCCCCAAAGCAACCCCAACTTCCATTTCCATGCAAGGGATTTTCAGTACAACTTGGTATTGGGAGACATCAGCTTTTTATCAGCTTTTTACTAAGTCACTGACAGGAAAATAATAGTCAGGTAGTAAGATGTCATCGTGTTACTGTTTTACTCATTCACAGGGTGTTCACTGGAGGAAGTGGGATGTGCAATCTTGATTTTGCGTGAAGACAGTCCATGAAAATACAAAATGCAGAGACTAAATGCAATTTCTTTTTCTCAGAGATTTCCAAAATAAGATCCTCTCACCGCTATGGTATACCATCCAGACAGGCAGTTCAGTTATTTCTTTTCAAAAGGGATGAAGTAAGTTGCTGATCACGTTATCTTGAAGGAACCAAAAGAGCGTGGATTCCATATCACACACATTGCTTCTTCGGTTTATCTCAGTTTTTTCCTCTGCTTTTGCAAGAGACAATCCACAGAATCAGCTGTTTTTGCTGTGATTTCTTTTGTACCCCAGTTTACTCTTAAGTACTGTATAAAATAATAGTGACATGTATATACCATCCAGAAAGAGACCACAGAATAACTACAGGCACAAACCTATTGCTTCTGTCACTACTGACATTGCCACAATACTTTAGAAATTGTGTGAGTGAAGGATGACTCTTTGATGTAACAGGCTGCTCCTTTTGTCTGCCCCCCGCCAACAGTGTCACTTGATTTAGGAGAAACTCTACTGCATCCCCTTTATAAAATTTCCTGAAATTACTCTTGTGGTGTGCAGCATAAATTTGGGATAAATAAATTGCACAAGATTGAAAATACCCTTTCAGCTATCTTTTTTCTTATAATAAATGAAAATGAATTGTGGACTTTTGTTTTTACTCAGCATAAAAAAAAGAGAGAGGGGACAGGGAGGAAGAAAGAGTCTCTTAGCAGCTGTGTGTTTTTTTTAAATAAGAAAATAGCATTCCCCCAATTTCCAGTAAAACCCTTAAGATTTAGGCAGTTCATCCCTAAAGTATGTGTGGGATGCTGGGAGCTCCCTGGCTTTTCCAGGCAACCCCACCCCCCCAAAAAAAACACCCCACAAAAAAACAAAAGCAGATGGGCTGCATCTGAACGAATCAAACTCCCCAGGGGCTGGAGCTCTCCGCTCTAAATGCTAATAGAGTGAGTAATCAGAAACCTACATTTGGTAAATTATTTATCTTATCTCTGGAACTCAGCACAGCATAGAAGACAGCAACTTATGTAGAAAGATGTTGTTGGTCAAGAACTCCAGCTGGAATTTGTACTTTTACTAGAAAAGGGAAAAGTTCAGAGACCAGTGTGGCTCATGAAGCAATACTCTTTTCTTTTTCTTTTTTTTTTAAATGACCAAATGCAAAGCCAAGGAAAACTGACATCACAGTTCTGTGGAACAGGTCTGGTTCATGTTTTGTCTAATGGGCCTTACGTTCCATCTGTATTAGGGTAATGGCAAAGCAAACCAATAGATATTAAGGATCCCTGAAGAGTGGGGAGTAGGTTCCCTTGCAAAGGGCAGCCAGCCCGAGTTACTGGCAGTAGCTCTGAAACTTAAGCTTCCTGCATCAGAATCACCTGGAGGGCTTTTTTTTCTTTTTTAAGTTATTTATTTATTTGACAGAGACACAGCGAGAGAGGGAACACGAACAGCGGGAGCGGGAGAGGGCGAAGCAGGCTTCCTGCCGAGCAGGGAGCCCGATGCGGGGCTCGATGCGGGGCTCGATCCCAGGACCCTGGGACCATGACCTGAGCCAAAGGCAGACACTTAACGACTGAGCCACCCAGGTGCCCCTATCACCTGGAGGGCTTTTTAAAAAACTCGGATTGCCATGCCTCACCCTCAGAATTTCAGATTCTGTAGGCTTGCTGGGGTGGGGCCTGATAATTTGCATTTCTGCACTTTTGAACAAACCTCCAGGTGATGCTATTGCTGGCTCAGGTACCATACTTTGAGAAGCACTGGCCTGGGGCGGGGCGGGGGTCTTTCTGCAGTAGCGTTTAAGCACCCTTTCTCAAATGAAATATGTAGATTTGCAAGTTTAAGGGCTATGATTGGGATTTCGACAGTGGAATTAGCCCTAGTAATGCATTGTAGCCCTTTCACTTATCTTACAAAATGTATTAACTGGATAAATCAATTCCATCTATGATGAACATTACACTGATAGCATATACAATTCCTTTGTGTCCTCCGTAGTCCCAAGCACCTTGGGGTTCCATAGAACTGAGCAAATAAAAAAGTAAAGGCTTTATGTGAATAAATATGGTTGTATAATTCACATTCATACTTATAAACACCTTAAAAGTTTTGTTTTTTCTCTGTATACGACTTCGATGGTTACATCCACATTGTGAACTCAATTCCAATGGATTGAATTGCACAATCACAGGTACTCAATTCCTTTGCTTTTGCTTCTTTCCTTCACAGAACAAATATATTTGGAGCGCATATTGTAGGTATGGATAACAGACAACAAAAATATAACACAGGGTATCAAATCCAAGGGGAGATGAGACCAAATGATACAAACCACCTGGGTGAAAGGAATCCCCCACCAAGTGTTGTAGCCAGGTAATGCTTTCACAGAAGGAGGCACTTCAGTTGGGTCTGTTCAAAATCCTTCTATGGCTTTCAGTCACCCCTCAGATAAAATTCATACTTGACAGAATGGCACACACAACTGTTGATGATCACCTATGGTTACCTGTTCAATTAGATTTCTCTCTACTCCCAGAGGCCATACTCAGCAGCAAATTTCAAGTCTATGACAGTGCAGGGCACCTGGCTGACTCATTCAGAAGAGCGTGTGACTCTTGTTCTCATGGTTGTGAGTTTGAGCCCCATGTTAGGTGTAGAGATTACTTAAATAAATGAATAAATAAAAATTTTTTTTTAAGATTTTATTTATTTGTTTGAGAGAGAGAGAATGAGAGAGAGAGAGAGAGAGAGGGAAGAGGGTCAGAGGGAGAAGCAGACTCCCTGCTGAGCAGGGAGCCCGATGCGGGACTCGATCCCGGGACTCCAGGATCATGACTTGAGCCAAAGGCAGTCGCTTAACCAACTGAGCCACCCGGGCACCCAAAATGTTTTTTAAAAAGTTTTAAAAAAGTCTTTTTTTGTTCAAATTTTTAAAAAAAAGTTTGTGATATGTAAATTTCAGATGTAACTGCAATTGACAATTAATCCTCTACCAAGCACCCTCCCACTTTCTCATTTGGGGGCAGACTACGGAGCTCTTTAGAAGGAGTGTTTTAGGGGGCAACTGCAAATGACTGCCTCATGATCCTTTGAACTTCGCTTCAATGAGCGGTCGGTTGTGTACACAATGAGTTTCACCATCCTTACTTTGTGTGCTTTTTGTGACAGCACAGATCCAAATGAAAAGATAACCACTTTTCTTTAACCTCACAGCAATGCAAACTTTACCTCTATTTTAGGCTTCTAAATTTTGGACCCTACTCACAACGATACGGTGGGGTTTTTTTTCTCTAATGCAAATTCGTGACTCTGGGTGTTTACACATGCTGTTCCTTCTTGCTGAAATTTGAATTTCCCTAACCTGTCCTTTGACTGTTGGATTCCTCTCTTCTATTTATGTTTCATAACCCACATCAGGTGCTACCTCCTCTCTGAAGCCTTCCTCGACCCTGGAGATAAGGTTTAGAGGGTGTCATAACTTTCTTTGCAGACCATGTCCTAACTCTATATATGAGAATAAGTGTTTGACTGTGTGAGAGGTGCTTTTTAAATGTTTGTGAAGAAATGAGCCAAAATAGAGGCAGTGTATAAGCAAAGAGAGATGAGAAAATGTAAGTCTCACTCTGGGGACAGCAAGTTCCATCCTGCCCTTACCCTCTCCTCACATCATCATCGGAAAAGAAAGACATGCAATTATGGGCAGACCTCAGAATAGTTGGGTTTTAGTTTCCTCATCTGTAAAACTGGGATAATGACAGCACCTGCCTCACAGAGTGGTTGGGTTGAGGGTGGGGAAAGTGTTTGTAAGGCACTTAGCACTGTTCTTGGCACATAAAAAGAGCTCAGTAAATGTTAGCCATTATTTGCTCTATTAGACGAATTCCATACTTTCATGGGGAGTCAAACGGCTTACTAAGGTGATGTTTCATAGGTACCTGACTAAGTAATTGGGATCAAACCTATTACCCAAATTTAGACCCAAGATATATGTGGCACTTTGGGGCTTTTCTGTGTTACTGATGAGTCTGAGAATAAACAGTTCAACAGTGAGATCTCCTGGGACTGAGACTACCCCAAAGATGCGGGTGGGGGAAGGAAGGGGTAGTGCATGATCTGTCTCCATACCAAAATGGCTTCATGGAGAGAAACAGTTTTGTTTTGAGTTCTCCAGAGGACATGATGAAGACCAAATGAAGGGAAGTTCTATAGAAACAGATTTTTTTCTTTTTTTTTTTAATATAGAAACAGATTTTAACTTAACATTTAAAAGCTTCCCAACAAGTATAGCTGTATGGCACAGGCTGCCTTGTGAGGTAGTAAACTCCTTTCTAGCAGAGGTAATCAGGGTCTGGATAATCAAAAAGGATGTTCTAGGATCCTCAGCTTTAAGATTATTGATTCAGAAATATGAAAGGCTGTTAAGTTTCTGTTCCAACCATGAACTTGGGAGTTCAAAGATTGGCTTCAAATCTCATTTCCCATTTGACTGTGGGATAGTTGCTTAACCTACCTTTGCCTCAGTTTCCTTATCTGAAATGGGGATAACAACACCTATTTTCCTCAGTATCAGAGGATTAGATCTTTTTATTTAATTTATTTATTTATTTATTTTTAGATTTTATTTATTTATTTGACAGAGAGTGACACAGCGAGAGAGGGAACACAAGCAGGGGGAGTGGGAGAGGGAGAAGCAGGCTTCCCGTGGAGCAGGGAGCCCGATGCGGGGCTCGATCCCAGGATTCCGGGATCATGACCTGAGCTGAAGGCAGACGCTTAACGACTGAGCCACCCAGGCGCCCCAGGATTAGGTCTTTTTAAATGTGTAAATACTTTAGTACAGTTAATATAGTTCACACCTGATAAAAGGCAGCTATTTTTATTATTAGGTTCAATGTTCTCTCATGTGTGTGCTCATATAAATTCATATCGATGTCTAGGATCTTTTTACCTGGGAAGCTTAACTGTCTATTACCAGTCCTTTCTTGGTGTTTGCATGTCCCAGCTCACTCATTTTGGTTAATCTAGGCACTAGCCATTCAGCCATCCCCAGAGATTAGGTAGAGAAGAGTTCACCTCTAAGACCAGAGAATGTGTGCTTTCTGGGTAGGTTCCAGAGTAAATGCCCTTTTCCTTTAAGGGACATAAATAGTCCAGTCACTGTTTCCAAGCTCTGTTAAGAGGAGGAACAGACCTGTTTCCTCTAGTGTTCCCTGAGTGCTGATAACTGGATGCCAAGGAGCCAGATCATGTGGGAGAGGCAGCTGTCTACATGGTGTAATTTGAGGGGTTTGAGGAAATCCCCCTGCTTAAAATATCTTCCCCCAATGGCTGGGACACATGCCTGAAATGTATGACTTACTCTTCGCAATCAGGTGCTGCTGAAATCAATTGTGATCCAAGAGTAGACTGACATTCAGCCATTAGCATTCATTTGCACCTGAGTTTAATTTATCAGATTAGTTGGTTGAGTATCCCAAAGATAAGCAGGCACAAGACAAATAAGTTCTAACGAGGGAAGCTCATCCCAAAGGGTCTGAAATATGGGGCATTGGGCCACTCATGTGAGGGGCTGTAAGGACGGTCAGAACAGTTTGGG